GGGAGCTGCCAATCTGTTGGCGGCGGGCCAATAGCGGGACGAGATTCCCCCCCACCGTTTGCCGGGCGGGGGCGGGGCCGCGGCGGCACCGGGACCCACCGGACGGGAGGGGACAGGGCCCGGCCCCGGGGACGGAGCCCACCGGGGTTCGGCCGTGCCCGGTACCGGCTGCCCGCCCTCCAGAGGCGGCCCCCGCTGCCGCCCCGTTCTCCCTCTTCCCCAGCCCCGCCGTGCGCCGGCATCCCGGTGCGGAGCATCGTTCAACCGCCGCCGTTCCCCCGGCTCCCCCGTCCCCGCAGGTGAGGCCTCGCCCGGAGCGGCACCGGCACCGGGAGCGGCACCGGGAGCGGCACCGGGAGTTGTACGGGGATCAGCACCGGGAGCAGCACCTGGAGCAGCCGCCGCGTCCCCCCGGGACCCTCCCGGTGCCATGAAGGAGGACCGGGAGCGCCCCGCCGCCCTGGGTGAGGGATGCGGGTCCAGCCCGGCACCGGCCCCGGTCACATCCTGGCTGTGAGCGACGCCGGGGTCACCGGCGGTTGGCGGGAGCAGCCCCGTCGCACCCGGCCGCCGTGCGGTGCCATCACCGGCCGCCCCTCCTCTTGTCTCCGTGACAGGGTACGGCGTCACCAAACCCGACATCCTGGCCGAGGTGGAGCGAGGGGAGACGGAGGCGGCGACGGCGGGGCACTACGGGCAGCACCGGAGCCCCCGGCCACGTACGGCGCCCACCGGCCCCCCCCAGGGTGAGCGGGTCCCGGGAGGGACCGGGGGACGGGGGATCCCGCCAAACCGGAGGGCTTGGTCCCGCGGGACCCCTGGTGAGGGGCCGGCTCCCCAACACGCTCCTGTCTCCGCAGGGACGGAGGTGAAGAGCGAGGAGGGGGTGTCCCCGCCACCCGCGTCCCCCCCGTCCCACCGCACCGGCCCCGGCTGCAGCTTTTGTGGTGTCCCGGAGCCCAGACTGAACCCCGGTGCCAGTAACGGGGGGTTCCTGGCCCCGCCACCCCCCCTGGAGACCCGGTGCCGCCGCTCGGCCGAGCCACCGCTCGAGTGCACCGAGTGCGGCCGCGGCTTCTACGGGCACAAACCGGACCTGGTGCGGCACCGGCAGGCGCACGGCGGGGACGGCGGCTACGCCTGTGGCCGCTGTGGCAGGGGCTTCGCCGAGCCCGTGGGGCTGGGGGGGGCGAGCAGCCCCTGCCGCGCCCCTCCCGGCACTGGCCGCTCCCCGGGGACGGCGGAAGGGGGAGCGGCGGCGGCCCCCCCCCCAAAGGAGCGGAAGGAGCTGTCGCTGCCGGAGAAGGTGCGGGTGCTGGAGATGCTGGAGGGCCCCAAGGTGTCTCAGAGCGAACTGGCCAAGCGCTTCGGGGTGTCGCAGCCCCAGATCTGTCGCATCATCAAGAACAAGGAGCGGATCCTGAGCGAGTGGCACCGCAGCGGCCAGCCCGAGCACAAACGCAAGCGGGAAGGGAAGGAGGACGCGGCCCTCGAGGCCGCCCTGCTGCGCTGGGTGGAGGGCGCCCGCACCACCGACCTGCCCGGCACCGGCTCCCTCCTCCAGCTCAAAGCCAAACACCTCGCCCAGGCCCAGGCCCTGGGCCAACCCGACCCCCCGCCCGGCGGCGGCTGGTTGGCACGTTTCGGGGCTCGGCAGGGCAAGAAGCCGCCGGCAGAGAAAGGGGACGCAGAGCAGCCCACGGCCGAGTGCTGGGCTGGCGCGGTGCTGCCCGGCCTCCTCCGCAGCTACGCGCCCTCCGAGATCTACGTCTGCGGGGAGACGGGGGTCCCGCTCCCCACCGGCTCCCCCGGGAAGGGGGAGAGTGCCGGCGACCGGCTGGCACTGCTGCTCTGCGCCAACGCCGACGGCTCGGAGAAGGTCCCGCTGCGGGCGGTGGGGGAGAGCCCCCGGCCACGTTGCCTTCGGGGCGTCAACCTGGGGCAGATGCCCTGGAGCTACCGCGGCGGCGGCGGCGTGGCCGGGGTGACGGCCCCCCTCTTCGCCGAGTGGCTACGGGAGTTCAACGAGGGGATGCAGCGACGGGGGAAGAGCGTCCTCCTCCTCCTCGCCAAGGAGGAGGCGCGCCCCTACCTCCAGCTCTCCAACGTCAGGATGGTCTTCGTCCCGCCGGCCATCACCTTGGATGGCGGCATCGCCAACGACCTCAAGGGCCACTACCGGCGCCGGTGCCTGCGGTGGCCGCCGGCGGAGCGCGGCGCGGGGCAGCCCACCCTCCTGGATGCCCTGCACACGCTGGCACAAGCCTGGGGCGACGTGCGCCCGGGGCTCATCGCCAGCTGCTTCCGTGCCGCCGGCTTCAGCCCCGATGCCGGCCCCGAGGCCCCGACCCTCACCCCGGCGTCCGGCCCGCTCGGCCAGGAGGAGCTGGGACGTGACGGGGAGCCGGCAGATGGGGACGAGGGGACATCGGAGGGCGAGGAGGCGGGAGAGCCGGTGCAGCCCTGCCCCACGGAACGGGAGGTTTGGGGGAGCCTGGCCACGCTGCGGCGGTACCTGGAGTGCCGGGCCACCTCACCGGACCTCTTCCAAGCCTTCTACGAGCTGGAGGACGCCGTGCACATGGTGGCGGCCATCACTGGGCCAGCCCTGATGGGGGACACCCCTCTCCAGCAGTGAGCAGAGGGGTCAGACCTGTGCTGGTGACTGGAGCTCATCGGGGCCGTCACTGGACTGGCCTGGCCACCGTCCCCCGGCGGTGGTGGCAGTGCGGGCTGAGTTGTGCCGTGGGGTTTGCCGTGGGTCTGCGTGGTGCGGGGGCAAAGTGGGGAGCACCGTGCCCTGGGGGCTGCGGAGCCACCACCGCTTGAGGTGTCCCCCCTCGGGGCAGTGCCAGGGGCTGGTGACACGGAGCCGCTGCCAAAACCTTCTCCCTGGGGGGTGGCATCTGGAGCCCCCGGGAGCCACCGTGGAGGGGATTCGCCCTGAGTGGGGGGGTTGTGTCTGCCGGGGGAGGGGGGGACAGTGGCTCCCCATGGGGGTTTTGAGGGGGCCACCGGTGGCTGTCACCGTGCGGTGCCCCGAGGTTTGCAACAGGCATTAAAAAGGCAGAATTCAGCAAAGTGTGGATGGTGGTTGTTGGATTTTAATTTCATTTCCAAGCCCTGCCGTGAGCCCACCGGGGGTGGGGGTTCAGGGGGCTCCCCTGG